TTAATAATGTAAATATCGGAATAGTGTATGGTTACTAATGGCAACTTATGTTATTTAATATTTCAACAAATTTCTACGTATGTCGGAGAGAGATCTCGGAATTCCATTCGAGCCACATTCCTAAGCCCCTGTGAGCATTGCTGATAGAATATATTCTAGTTCATTGAACTGTATCTATTTAAAAGAATTTTCATGTGAACATTTTAGTTTTTTTTTTAGTATTTCTTGCAAACGTTCTTCAAGATATAACTTTGAAATATTCTGTTCAAATTTATGTTATAAAGTACAGAATGTTCAGTGGAATTTATAAGTATGAGAGAAACAGCGTATCTACTTAGTACAACAGCTATCTAAATATCAAACTCAGCTGTAGGCTACATTAGCAAAATCAGTTTCAGCTTGGGAATTATGACGTCACAAAGTTAGCTAGAAAAGCATATATGAAGCGATTTATGAATAATTCTAAAAAAGTGGGCAAAAGCTACATATTCTTGTTTTCTTTACAGCATAAAAAAATAAATTTTTATGCATTAATTTGTTGGTGTTTTGGTTATTTTATTTTTAAAAATAAAGTGATATTGTATGTATAGTATAGTTATTCTCTTTTCATTATGTTCAGAATACAAATAAGGACAAAACAACGTCAATAAAATGTTAAACTTTGTGAGTGGCGCAGCGCGGTGTCGTATCTACTTACGATATTAAGAAAGTTCCTAAAGAAAGCTATTTTGTGGCGCCAAAACTTATTTAAATCAAGCTTTAACAAACTTTATTTAAACTGACTTTGTATAAAATCAACATCAAATATGTTGTACAGATATTTTATAACAATTGTTTACGTCAAAAACTTAATTGAGGTTTTTGGTTTAGTTATTTACCTCATTTTTAATGACACGGCAGATGTTATGAAAAGGGCATAGGAGAAAGACAGGTAGAATTTTATTCTACTTTATTCACTTTCTAGGCTATAAGGATGAGTGCACACAGCAAACGCGTAAAGTGCATAATGCACATTATTCCGTAGCTGTATATTTTGTAAAATATGTGTGTGCAAACCTTAAAATGGCAATAATGTAATGCAGTTTAGTGGCGGCTGTGTACAGTGTACACGCGCGCCGGGTGACCGCGACACATCTATTTGTGTCTATAGGAATTGCAGGCATCGTGGTATTTGGAAGTATTTGATATACTCATTTTATATGTTTCAATTTCTATATTATTATTTCATTCTATTCTTCTTGTCAGACAGTATATGTATTACAACGAAATATCGTAAAAAATCAAGGCGTATATTTACAAATTTTATATGTGTTGTTCAGTGATTAGCGTCTATCGCCAGATATTATGGTTTTTAATTGTATTCAGTCGCAACTAGGACAGTAAATTTAAATATGTATCGAACCTCCTGTTAGCATTTTTCAACTCTGGAGACCTCCCGCAACAGCACTCAGGGGAAATCTGACTCAAGATAATGCAAGTATCGCTTCTTGCACTTGTTGTAACATAGTTCTGTCGTCGTCAATTTTATCAAATTTAGACAAAGCATAGACACATGAAATAGTAAAGAAATGTCTGATAATTTATAAAATCACACTGTTCACTGTGAGTGACTTATTAGATTTATTTGTAACTTAGTAATTACCTAGATTTATTTTACAAGAATTACGAAAAACAATTGTGATTTTAATCACGTAAAAGGACACGTTTAAAATGAATTTAATACGAGTATTTGCATAGTAACAAAGAGGACGTTGTGTCGCAAGGGATGGCTGGATGTGTTTTGGGAACCCTTCTCAGTTGTTTATAATACCCGAGTTAAGACGGCAAGAGGTTTGAGGATGACCGCGGAATACACGGACATTTTATAGCTGCTTAATAATTGGCACACAGTAAATTACAGAAAATAATAACTGAATGATTTAATTAATCATAAGTATTTAAAAGTAAAAGTGTTATTGAACTTGAGTTAGGAAAATTAATATCTTAATTCTGTAGGTGGCGATGCGAGCGTTTCATTTCACTAATGAACAAAACGCCATCTGACGGATCAATTGCTACAACACATTTTTAGAGTTAACAATAAGCCATGATAAAATTAGAAATATTTATCTTCATTTGTTTCAATTGTTTGAAAGTTCGTTTGCTTCTTTTTCATTGTTATTTTCTCCCTACCATTCTATGTAAGAACGCACCAGATTTTTGTCTTCCCCATCTCTCTATCTCCCGTCATTTTAGTCGTCCCTCTCTTCTTCAATGTCACCTTTCCTGCGATCTATCCTTCTCTTCCTAGATCTACCCCACTGTTGAACCCTCTTATTCCCTCCTCGTGCTCATTTTACTTTCTCCGTTACATCTCGTCTGCAATCTTTTATTACAAAAGTTTATTTTTGAATGCTAACTAATTTATCAAATCAAAAATGTTTGATGTGTTTCATGTGTCAATCAGATTTCCTTTGAGTAAGGAATTGAATAGAAATATCGTATAAAAGTTTCTTTCAACAATTTCTTAAGGTTTTAAATAAAAAGTTAGGTAAAAGATTGTAGCTTATTACTTTTCTTCGCCTTTCAAACGTCACGTTGCAAAATCATTTATTTCAATCACGGCTTTAAAAGTTCTGATTATTATATGATATTGATAAATATCCACACTATTACATACTCAAATATAAGAAGTGAATATTTTTTTTTAATTATTTTTTAAGCCGCAAAATCATAGCAAAGGGAAATTATTTAATTCGATGAAATTTCAGACTCGAGTTTTGATGTTTCTAAGTTTCAACCTTATACATTTAATTTCGATAGGCGTTATCGAGCAACGATATATTTTTAAACCATCTAAGCTATATTGATGCTTTTCCTAACATAAAAATAGTGGGTGTTATGCAAGCCTGGTAATAAATTTAAGCCGTCACATGGACTTTGTCACAAGAGCGGCGCTGACCAAACTTATTCTGTCATTAATACGCTCGCTCGCTCAATTTAAAGTTCTTTTTAATATGTAAATATAAAGTTTTAAGAAAAAGTAAACAACAACATAACATAAACAGTATAAAAATGCAAAAGTCAATGTATATTAAGGGACTTTTTCTGTAATGTGATTTTTGTAATTAAATTACAATTCACATTTTTTGATTATTTAATTTATATTGTATTTTGAATAAGACGAATATTTAGAGATTAAGAACTCGTTTAATAGGATCTTCAAAGAAGCTATTGAGAGCGGCAATCTCGCTGAAATAGTTTGAAAGTACTACTTAGACTTAATGCCTTTAAGGATATCGTTTAGAAAGAAAATGAGTTTAATAAAATGCAAATCTTCCTGTCAGTAGCTGCCGTCGTATCAAAGAATACAACACAATAAAAACAAGTGGTTACAATTAATTTTTTAGGCAGCTTCTACAGCGTTATATATAAGATAGATTTAAATGAAAGTAAATTTTATGGGTATTGCTGTTGTGTGGGATCATCGTATAAGAAACTCACAAACATTTAGTTAGTAATAATAAGTAATTATAGTAGTAAATAAATTAAGAAGAGTATAAATTAACAAACATGACATACTCCGAACCGCCAATCAGAATTGGAAGGGTTATATATTATACGACTAATTCGGAGAAAGAGTCGGAAGTGTAAAAGGAGGATGCGCCTTTACACGGTGTGTCCAAAAGTTATTGCAGTGGACAGACGTCCTTTGTAACAATAGATCTAGGAGACTAGGTATCCTCCTCTACATTTACGCTACATATAAAGTAGACATCTCTTTGCAAGATCGAGCCTCACTATTTGCGTGCAGTTGCGCCTCATCAGCAATACTTGATTTTGTCTCTTATCTGTTACGTCTGCTTGACCGGTGGAGTGGCCGTCAAGTAGTATAATTCCAGGAATAATACCTATAATGGTTTTCTACATAAGTTTATATGTTAATGTGATGATTACATGATGTAAGATAGATTGTTACATAGTGTATTATGTATTCAAGTTACAATGTCTCGTTTTCAGTTTCCAATAGACATGCAAATAAGGGGAGTGATTGGACGCGTAACCACGCGTGGTTTAATGCGCCTGCCTACCTTACCTTCGCATAAATTTTGTTTTTAATACAACGGCTGTAGTCTATAGTGTTGTATGCTTAGTGTGTCGTAAATATTTGGTCTTTTGTCTTAAAATTGTATAACATTTTATTCACAGATTAGTTTATTACTATAAGTTAGTTAAAAAAAAATAAAGATAAAATTCTGATCGAAATGTGCATTTGTAACTTTAAGATTGTTTGTTTTCAGACGTAACAAGAGCTTAAGTTCGTTATGACAAAAGTGGTTAAGTATATTGTTGGCAACACATTTGTTTATATCTTGTATAAACTATTATATAAGTTTCCAGTGGTTCTACATGATGTTTGTTGCTGCGACAGTTGTGAATTAGATATCCCTGCGTAGTCACAATATCGATAAGATTCTATTCTGGAAAAATAAGTTATATCGTATGTCAATTTATTATTAAATGATACCATGTTGCAGTTAAAGTGATTATTTTGTCTTTATTTAATGTTTCCCGAACACTATTAACAATGAACCTATATGAAAAACATTTTATTTGAAAAGTTTAAAAAAGGTTTTGTAGTATTTAAATGTAAGGGTTTTTTCTTGTAATATGTGTTTAAACGCCATGACCTTTTATTTGAATTTAATAAAAATAGTTTCTGCGATAATCATGAAGCTTTTATACAATCAGGAGATTTTTTCTTACTTTCTTATCGAACGATATATGATGAATAATGTTTCGTCAATTTGATTAAATATTCATGTAATTCTTTCACTTCACCGTTATAAATATATTTTCTTATAACTTTACTATCTCATAAAACTGAATAGTATAAAAAGCTGCCAACTTTATTAAAAATTGTGAGATCACACGGAGAACCTAATCGATTCTAGAGGTCAAGTTCAAATGGTTTAATCTTTATGAATAATATTTAATTTTAATTTTTTTTTCATTGGGTGAGCTCGCCTCGGCGTGCCGGTTGCACTGCCGCGCACCCAGATATTTGCAGACGTTGTTGATAAGAAATCTTTGTAAAATTGTACATCTTAAATATAACTCAGTGTACTGTCGACCTCGTACACAATCGATCGTGGAAAATGTTTATAAAAACGTATATTTTGCTTATATTTAGTGTCAATAATGTTATTGTACGCGGCCAGTCAGCGGATCAGAAGAGCAGATTTGCCTTCGTCATAGACGACACATACTCCATGTCGAGAGATATCGAAGAAGTCAAAAGTAAAACTAAACTCATTTTCGACACAGTCCGGACATCCGCAGAGTCGCACATTGAAAATTTTATTTTGGTAACATTTAACGATCCTGGTGAGTTAAAATTAAATTAATTTATATTTCAATGTAACAGTAATCAGCTGCTAAGAGCAAGTGTACAGGGGGAAATTAACTCTCTGCACGATTAACTAGAGGGTATTGTTTTTCAAGGACATAATTTTGGTGGTACACCGTTTTTTTTTTATAATATAAGTTAGTAAACGAGGAAACGGCCACCCGGATTGCCGAAATAACGATGCGACTGTTACCTAAACACATCAAGGCACATTAATATTTCAAGGCATCTGCGGTTCTTCTGGTATTTCTGATGTACATGGGCGTCGATGAACACCTCGGTGTTCCCGCTGCTCGTTTGCCCACTTCTCTTATAAAAAAGGCGTATAAGTATTAGTTGTAATCATTGTCATTGTCGTTACAGGTTGTATACCGACAACGTACGTGACTGTACAATCATGGTTATTTTATAGGAATATATATTTATATATATTTACTGTAATTTTGTCATTGCAAATAAAAAAATGATAAGATAAAAATATTAAGATGCCATAAAATAAAATGAATAAATGCGAAATATGTAATAATTTGTATCCGCATCAGCTATCTCTTCCTAAAATATATGTATCAAACAAAAAACCCACAAACAGGTCACGATCTTTGGTCGACACAAGTTGATATGCATTATTGTCAACAATGCGATATGAAACGATATCAGGTGAAATGCGGCATAAGGTCATGTTTCTGAGTGAAATATCAATCTTTGCAAGTAACATAATATTCGCAGTGCGATTATCATGAACAAGTGCTATTTGCAAGTAAACAGTGGTAGAGTTTATTCACTAACGGGCTGGCTCGACCGGTGCAATACCTCAACCACACAAAAGACAGCCGTGAAGTGGAAGTCATTTCTCGTTTTGTCTGATTAGTGTGCGTGCCGTAGGAAAGGATGAAAAGGGGAATTGGATATAGGGGAGGGAAAGTATAGTTAGGGGAAATAGTCTCTTTTTGTGAATCTGGTTCTCTGTAACTTAAAGGTAGGCAACGCATATGTGAATTTGGATGTCTATAAGCAGCATTCACTTTAAACGGTAAAAATCTTTATGAATGTTGTTATATATTATAAAGTAGTAGTGTCATAGCTGAGGACGACAGTGAATCAATGATTGTTGCGATTTTAGGTGTAGGCCTTTTCCAGATAAGATCTTTTTTCATCTATCTCTATATTCGGTTGTAGGTTTTCAGCCTGCTCTGGTAACCAATAGTGAAAGCGTATTCAAGAAGGCGCTAGATGCAATCGTGGTGCACAGCGGCCCTGATAATTTAGAATGCCCAGAGATGTCGATGCATGGCCTGGCCGAGGCTCTGGCGCACACGCTGCCAGGTTCCTATATCTACGTGTTCACTGACGCTGCGGCCAAAGACTACGCTGATGGTCCAAAGATTAAGAAATTGGCACAGAAGCAAGGGACACAGGTCAGTTGTTTCTAATTTTCTCTTCGGAGTATTTTTGCGAAATCGCGATTAACGAATAATTGAAGATGGTAAGAATAAAACCGCATGTACGAAATTAGCGACGAAAGCGGCGGAGTGACGGTGGAGCAGGATAATGAAAAAAAGAAATAACTACTTTGCTCCCGCTTATTTCTTCTGCGTGCTATATTGTGCTATACTTTTATTACATCGTCCCCCGCCACACCTCGCGTCACCCCGCTCGTCACGAATTTCATAACCGCCGCCTATCATTTTTTGTTAGTTTAGGGAACAGTACTGGAATCTAAAAGTTCTATAAAATAACATGTTTTAAAAGTGTATTATTATTTTTTGCCAGATTTCGTTCATCTTAACACCTCCTACGTGCGGGGCTTTTTATGAAAATGATCCTAATTACAAAGTGTATAAAGACCTGGCTGCTGCCACTTCGGGGCAAATACTTCATGTTGCAAGGGGCGAAGTTGGACAGGTAACACCTTTAGCATCAATGATTAGTATAAAGGCTAAGTAATTGTTAAATAAATTATCATTAATTAATTAAATAAATTAAGGTACTTGTCACTTCGTTATTATATATATATATATATATATATGTCTAAATATATAATAAAGAAGTGACAAGTACCTTAATATAAAGTACATTACATTCTTATATTAGAATTTGTATCGAATCTAGCAGCGTTGTATGCGTGCGCGTCTTTATAAATCTATCGACCAAAACCTGTTTTATGTTTCTGTTTTATTAAATATTTTATTATAAATATTTTAGTGATATTAAGAGCAATTACATTAAAAACCACTAAAAGACGCATAGTAATTAATAATGAGATTTGAATGATGGATGTGGCTTAAAGCGTTACATTTCAATCATTCAGGTACTAGATTTCGTAGGGCGATCTCTGGACAAAAGACGAGCCGTTATAGGTAGAGCGGAATTACCACCAGGCTACAATAACAACATCACTGTAAGTTTGTCCTATTTATATTCATTACATTCTATTTAGCTTAAATTTTACGTTTGTTATTGGAAGTTTGTCAATATATTGTTACGTATATTTTCAGTAAATTATGCAGTGTATAATTTTAGTAAGCTTAAATGTTTAGATTTCAGGTGACAAAGAACTTGGTGACGTACAGTTTTCCGTGACGGGTTTGAGGCCAAAATTAAAAATAACGAAACCAGACGGAAATGAAGCTAATACAACTGACATATTCAAAAATGATAAAACTCTGGTAGGTTAGCTTTATATTGCCTTGCATTGGGTAAAAAGCTCCAAATAACGGGCAAGTACTGCTCCACATAATGAACCTTACAAATAATAATCTAGGGAAGGTCAATGCGGCTCGCGTGGCGTGGGATTGATCACTGTAGCGATGGGAGAATCCTTGTTCCAAGCTTCTATAAGCATTCTGTAAATGAAATTGACATTGCCTGATCCAGACATTAGCATTTTTATTATCAATAACGAAAGATAAACGTGATTTTCATAGATCCAAAGTTATAGATCGTGTCATATCAACTTATAAAATTAGGACTGATATAATATTTATACCTTTTTATGTATCTATAACTTTTCGCAGGTCGTGGGAGTTGATGGTCTTGAGTCAGGTAATCATACAGCCAATGTGGGCAGTGAGACTGACACGAGCGTTGTTATAACCGGAGTCACCAATGTTAACTTCCAACATGGTTTCTCGGAATTCAAACCGAGATCAATAAATACAACAATAACCAGACCCATTCTAGGTAATTAAAACACTGCAATATTAAGTAAAAAAAAGTATTATTGTCCTCTAAGAAGGAAAAGGAAAGTGCCAAGGATGTACCGCAAGAGTAACTTGTGGCTCAACAACAAGATGTTATCGTGAAGATCCTTTCTAATATTTGATCATACATTCAGAGCTTTTAGTAAGCCTACATTAATGAAACCTACAATTTTCAGGTAAACCATCACACTTAGCAATAGAATTATCAAGTAAAGCCAAGGATTTCAAACTAGATGAAGTAGAATTATTAGATATGAATGATAATGTTATTTCTGTATGGCCGTTAAAAGAACTCACTACGAATTTCTACGTGGCTGAAAAACAAATGCCTCCAACAACCATGTTCAGAGTAGCGGTGGGTAATCAGGACACACTTATTAAAGGTTTCATAATTCAGTAATTTAATTGCAACGTAATGTAAACTAATTTTATATTACAGGTGAAAGGACACAATACAAAGACGAATGAATATATTCGAAGATTATCTGCGACCCCTGTTGAACCACAAACATTAACCACGGGCAAGTATAATATTTAATTAAAGTTTTAAATTTACAAACCAACAGCTTATTTTACTTAATATATATTCAGAGATGTGGTGCTTAATACTATATTTAAACATTTTTAGATGATAAACCGGAGAACCGACGGCCCACCGTTACTTTGGTTGGAGATTCGTCAATAGCAGTGGCTTATGGCGACTCAGTGCAGCTGCAATGTAAAATAAATGCCTATCCTAAACCAAAACTTACGTGGATTGAAGAAATATCTGGATTGACAGTTTCGGAAATGGTGATAACTTTTATAAAATTCTTGTTATGGAGCGTTAACATTTTTCCTAAATTAATTTTTTTATCACAAACATTTGGAGTAATATATTTTAATTTGATTAAAACCTCTACAACTCTAACTATTACTTACAACATAATAAAATTTAATTTATCTGCGAGGTGCAAGTCATTTTTTTGACAACTGCACCACCGCGAATGTAAGCGACTGTACTTAGCAGTAATGGTCTAAATTAAAAACACTGTTGGTAATGTAATACTTTGTGATCAACTTATATATTTATTATCGTTAGATCGTGGAAGAAGATCTGCCATATGGTTACATAAGCATTTTAGACTTGGAGCAAGTAAAGAGCAATACTTCATATCAATGCCGCGCCTTCAACGACTACGGCGACGATACAACTAAAGTCAGTGTTGGTGTTAACAGTAAAGGTATACAATCGTTTGATTTTCTGAAACTGGCATATTTATTATTATTCTTGTAAAAAGTCAAATGGCCTGTCCTTAGCCATATTTCTTAACTGCTACTTAGGGTCCTAGTCTTAGGTTAAGAGCTTCGTCAAAGACCGGCAACTGTTCCTTCGGTGTTGTGGATGTCCAAGAGCGACCTCTTTTCATTAAGTGTCCCGCTGATCTTTTGCCATTCTTATAAAAAAGAAGCATGTCCATAGTTTACAATATTTCATCATGGGTTTTTGAAAAATGTATATTTTTTAAATTTTAGTATTACTGTCATCATCAATGTTCAACTTCATAAAAACTGTTAACATAATTTCATAAATTTTAGTGCCACCGAAAATCAATAATTCTGTAAAGCAAATCAACGTAACAAGGAAAGAAAGCGCTACAATTACGTGCAAGTAAGATGAGTTAAATGCGGGCAACCAGCTCGAGTACCGTGGTATAAGACTGTTTAACTTTATTTAATTATAAATTTTTATTTTGTCAGTGTCACTGAAGGAATACCGAGACCAGAGATCCGATGGAGTTACAAACGTCCTTTGACTCGGGAATTTGTTCTCCTTGATGACGTATCATATGTAATTCAAATAAATAGCACGGATCTACACCAAGCAGGAACATACAAATGCGAGGCGAGCAATTTGTTTGGTCGAGACGAACACGAAATGGAGTTAATAATAAAATGTAAGTATTTTATTTAAAAGTTTTAGCGGCCCTTTATTTTTTTATCAAAACATCGATAATATTACTTTTACTGATACCTTTTATATGATATTTAATTTTTTTATCATTAAGTAAATCGGATTTAAGGTTTCTATATTATCAAAATGGTAATTTCCCAATTTCTACATAACTTTTAATTTTAGATCCACCAACAATAAGAGGTAACACGCAAATCAGGAAAGCTTCGAAAGGTCAACGCGTCTTCCTCACGTGCAATGCGGACGGAGTGCCCAAGCCCGACGTAAGATGGTACTTCAAGGGACATGAAATTGGCAAAACTTCTGGGCTTCGAATTTATACTGGCAATACTTTGAGGTAAGATAAAATGAGCTATTTTTCTACCGTTGCATCCACTCTAGTTGTTTCTCAGAATTTGTTGTACTACTTTCAAAATTATTGGATTATTTTGATGAATCTTTGGAAAGTGTATATATTTACATTTACAGTATGGTGGTTTCGTTCAACGACTCAGGAATTTATACATGTAATGCCGTAAACGAAGTTGGATCTGACACTAAAACAGTGAAAGTCGTAGTAGACGGTAAGAATTATGGAAGAATAATTAATAAACCTGTATAAGGAAAAATAGCTAATAAAAAGGTTATAAAAACCTCAGGTCCGCCATTCATCGAAAAGTCTTCAGTACCCAAGACGACAACGGCTGTGGTCGGCGACTTGGTAATGAACCTGCCGTGCCTTGCCACTGGCAGCCCTCAGCCCATGATCACTTGGGCTAAGGATGGAGTCGAAATTTCTTCAGGTAACAATCAATATATTGTTATAAAAACTTTGAAGACTTATTAAATAGTTCTTGGCTTTATTAATACGTACTATTTGAAACACTTGTCAAGTTTTTTTTAATATATTTTAAAAGGAACCGAGTGGTACAATATAAATAAGGATGGTACTCTGGTCATTAACAACGTGACTGAAACATCTCAGGGCAGATATGTGTGCACAGCTAGAAATTCAAAAGGGACTGATACAGATTACTTCGAAGTTGTTGTTCGACGTAAGTTATTTAACATTTTTTATTGTGTATTATAAGAATAAAAAGGAAAACTTCACAAAAACTTTTAAACACATTATTGTTACTTTCAATTATTATTGCTTTCTTAATAATAACAAAAACAAGGTTTTTAATGTACGCCACTAGTTACATTAATCTGCATTACCAAATTAATATTAAGAAGAGTTAATGGTGTACCGCGAACGTAGGCGACTGTACTTAATCACTGTTTCATAACAGCTTACCCTGACCCAACTGAGAAACGTAATGTTGTCAACCTATTGCTGGGCTCCTCTGCTACCATAGATTGTGACGTTCCACACACCACCAGCGATCGCCTCATTTGGTACAAGGTACTTAGCTGTTATTAATTAAATAAACTCCTATGTGCTCCTATAAGAATGAGGACCGAATCTCATCAGTCCTATTTAAAATGAACAACATGTATTTGATACCCGATAGTTTCGTTTTGTTAAGACATTAGTTTTTATAAGCAAATATGTTTCAGGGTGCTGAAATCGTAGCTACCGGTGAACTACATTTGAAAGACGTTGATATTGATAGTAGCGGGATGTACACTTGCCGCGTTAGTACACTGTCAGGCGCCGCTAGCGCCACCACTGTACTGAACGTCGGCTTCCCGCCAGAGTTCCTCGAGCAAAGCTCCGAACAAACAGAGTTTGTTTTGAACGAGGAGGCGTATTTCTCGTGCCTGGCCGCTGGAGAGCCGAACCCGACGGTGAGTTTAGCATTAATCCCGACACTTACTACTGTGTCTCGTGACCTCCGCGCGGAATTAAAAGACTTAGTGAAGTTATCTAGTCTATGTTTTCTTCCAGACTATGTATCTATACCAAATTTCAGTAAGAACGGTTAAGCCGTTCTAAAAATACTTAATAACAAACATACATCTAAAATTTCGCATTTAAAATATGAGATTATATGATTAGTTTGTCTCAGTTATTTTGTAATCTTAAACTGTATATAATTCAATGATTTCAGGCAAAATGGCTGTATAATGGGAAAGAATTAGATGTAACAGATATGGATTACCGTGTTTACATGACTTTCAATGATCTGGGAAACTATAGATGTACAGTCAGCAACATATATGGTACAATAACGCGAGATTTTCAAATCGTCGATCCAGGTTAGTTGTATTTGAAAACATGATTGAAATCAGTTAAAACCTAAAAGTATATAGGATTGTACTCGAGTTCCTATGTGTCCTAAAGGCAGAGATTTTCAGAAGTGAAGTGGAAGCAATTCCGCGTTTCCTCTGCGCACCTAATTTTAGTTTTCTTTCCCTTCCTATCCATTTCTTATATTAGGTAGTTTAGTTGACGGAGTAGGGGACGCATAAGTATTGGTAATCATTTTATTTATTTAATTTTTACAGGATGCACGTTACTCAATGGGATAAATAATGATAGTCCACAAGTTTCTTTAATAAACTTAAGACTTTTGTCAGATAATATGAGCAGTGTAAAAGTGCCTAAAGGTGAAGGAATGACAATCATCTGTGGTAACGGTTTTGAACAGTATTCCGGTACTGAACTTGAAGCGGTTTGCGTTGAAGCTACCACGCTCCGGATACATGACGTAGAAGTAAATTTCTCTCATGTAAAATGCAAGAAACAAAGGAAACCCAACTAATAATGTGAAATAAAAACGTAAACAAAAACTTGAGTAATTATTATTTAAAACCCTCTCTGTATTTAATAAGATAAGCGCGTATACAGGGGTCACAATTCACATTTATCTATAGAAAGGTAAAAGTTCTTAAAAAGATATTAAAATATAGGTATAGTACTTACATTTATACAGTAACAATTCACTTTTTGCTATTGAATATTACGCTAGGATCAGTTGCTTAATATGAATGATCTATGTTTACTTAACTTCCCCTTATTTTATGTACATTTCCCCGTGTAACATCTCCCCTCAGGCTTTAAAGATATTCTTTGAACATTTCTTAGTAAAGTTTATTTGCATTTAGTTTCTGTTAAAAATAGAGATAGCATAGCAAAATGTTTTTGGACAATGTTTGACAAAATCTCTGTATAAAACATATCGTCATCCCTCTCATTATCTTTGACAAAGGAGAGATAACAATATGTTTTAAACGGGTTTTTCCTCAAACAAACGATTAATGTATTAGTTAAATCAATATTATAATTTATAATTTTATGAGTCTTGCATTGATTTAGTTGTTAAAACCTATATTTGGCAACTATATATATTTACCGTGGGTTTTCGAGACCAAAATCTCTGTATAAAACATATCGTTTTCTCTGTCATTATCGTTCACAACTCGGATATTGGGTACTCAGAAACCCACGGTTAGTCAGCGTATTAAAGTTTTGTGATTTGTGTCAGCTTTTGGCGGCTTAAGATTGCGTGTGATAGCGGAAAGGAGTAACAATGTGTTGACAAATCACGGCTTGTTACTTTACAATGTAGTACCTATTTGAGTGATGTTTTCTTGTAAGAAGTAAATTAACTCCATTCGATTGACGAAAAGTCTTTCCAAACATATTCTCACAAAGCTTTATTTTCAATAGTTACCCTTCTCAGGGGAACCTATTGATGCCGGTCCGCTGTGACTTCTAACATATTCCTGGCTCCGAGCGAGAATAGTTTCATTTTATTTACTCTTTTGGTAAAGTAATATTGAAGTTTTAGGTAATTTCTTAAAGTAAACATTTGAACAATTTGTAAAGAAATTAACAGATTTGTTTTACCATTCGTAAAACGTACTCTCTCAAACTATAGAACTGTCTGTTCGTTTGCGCGTTTACTAAACTCAAAGCGGGTAATTTAATATCCGGCAAGCTATTCGAGCTTTGTTACGCGGACTGTTGGCTTACAGGACGAACTAGCGCTTTTCCCACGGGGGCAGCGGCACACTGACGTAGTCCAGTAAAGCTATTGTTTCGACATATTGAGATAGAAAAATACTGTGTTGATAGTTTGTGTCCTACTGCTCTTTTTCACTGTTCTGCAAGAAAAATGAGTCATATTTTGATTGCCGTTATCATTTTAAAAGGCAATAAATTAGAAAGATAAATTAGGAGCTTATATCAATCTGACACAAGCGTAAAATATGCGTATTGGATGTCGAGGATTTATAAAATATGGCTTTGTAAAGCGTATTTCATTATAAAAATAAAATAATGTCGACTTTAAAACGGTACAATGATGTACATTAAAAAACTTATATTTCCTATCCGTTACTGTAAAATGTCGTTTGAAATTGAAATATCAGAGAGTAAAATCATCGACAAAGTTTTCGAGCAGCGCTCCTAGCGGGCTAAAACACAACTACAAATGACGTTACGAAAATACGTATCATAAATACTCGTAGTAGACCCTCTGCTCTAAAACTTGTTCAGCAAAATACATATGTTTTAAATGAGAGCACTTATTGTGACTAACACCAAACTGGTGTGCGATATTCGATATTAAGTGGGAAGGAAATTTAATTCTTTGTTTATACAATGACTATATTTTTGTGATAAAATGAAGCGACCGCAAACCGAATTCGCATCGGAAGTGGCTCGCGCTCGTCAAATTACGACCTTGACCACAAACAGAACTATACATTTGCGACAACCGCCCACTCTCTCATTTATTGTTTTATTGATTTTTATAGAGATGATGATATTTGCGACAAAGTATTAGTAACTTTATTTATAAATTTTTATGACATTTTTCAGTGTAATTTACGCACGCTGCACAAATCTAATACAAAATTTTGTCAATAACGTACTGAATACTTTGTCGCAAATCATACTAGGGCTTCAGAACAGGGAAATATTTGTAGTCTCTGTATTTTCAATGAAAATAAAATAAATGAAAACATGTAAAAGAGTAAAGACAGTGGAGTCCCACTATCTTAATATTATAAATGCGAATGTTCAGATGGAAGAATGGATGGATAGATGTTTGTTGGAAGGTATCTCAGAACGGCTGTATGGATCTCGATGAAATTTGGCATATATATAGAACGTAGTCTGTAAGAACACATAGGCTGCTAATTCTGTTTTTTTTTAATTTCTTCCACGCGGACGGAGTTGCAGGCAACCGCTAGTTACTAAATAACTTTTAAAAGTAGTGTGATGTAACGCGGAATACATAGCAATTTGTGAGGCGAAGTTTGTTACACCTGTTTGTAAGCGATACATTTGTAAGTAAACATCACTTTATACGTGGGAAAGGATATTATTATGTTGCTGAAGGTAAAGTGGAAACGTCTCGTTATAGGATGAGATGATGTACTCAGCGGTGAGCGGTGTTTCTGTCAAATACATATTTCCCTCATCAATCTTACTACCGATTTAATATTTACAAAATATAAAACAACTTATTTTTAAATATATATATTTAATATACTTTGTAGTTTTCATCCTGCCATCCAGATCTCTAAGCCCCTGCATAGATAAGGAAATGTAAATCTTACAAACTAATGATGTATCATGGCGTCGCGATTATCACGTTTCGCGCGTTCCGTACACACAACGTTGAATCGTCGATTCGAGTCGTCTATTCGGTCGGTACAAGCATGACGATATGCCAACTGTATAGATGAGCTCCACTTGAAAATCATGGCGACTTTTTCGTGACGATCTTGATAAACGGTTGCCAGCGACTGTCTTTGGCGACGATAGAATAATATATCAGCGACGCTTGCCTATGTACGAGGATCTACGAAACTGGACTGCTCGAGTCGCTTAACGATTGTGTTTCAAATATTAATTGCCTTGTGTACGAAGGGCCTAAATGATTTAGAACGAGTGTCAGGTGTGGAGCGAAGTAATAAGCGTTTTTAAATATAAATGAAGTTTAAAAATAATTAAAGTTGTATGATACTGCATATTATCGTACTGATAGCTATCAAATATACTACATACTTAACCGCTGTCGTTTGCGACCCATTAGCAGCTTCCTCGCTAAAAGCAGCGCCTTGCAAAATTATCTCCACGATAATTATCAAGAGTAAGCCTTCATTACACTTTAATTAGTCTAAAGCATGAGAAAATGTATTTATTAATTACGTTAAAGGGCGTTTAAGTGTAGCGAAATATTGGTTGATGAAGATACGTTACGCAATACTAATTAACTTAGTATTTTTATATAATATGTAGGGAAATAAGTCGTCTATTTGAATTACTATAATAACATTTTTTGTAAAAAGTTGAATGTAAACTTGGAAGGTTTTTATGTCTGTTCGCGGTTATAAGCTGTCAAACATATTTCAATGTAACTTCGTACAACTCAAGTTGCCATGTATGACTGTATGTCAGTATTTTATCTAAAGGATGTTCAATTTGTTTAATACTTATTACTTACCGTGTATTTTATGACGTTTTGCAATTAAGTTGACAACATAAGCTGTTATAAATTAAATTCATTAACACGTTTTGTAAATTTGTCGTTTGCGTCGCGTAAATCCATTAGGCTCGACAAATTTCCGCTTCTGTGAATTATTGCGTGTAATCGTTTTAGCGCTTAAGCCTAATGTAATTTATACAGAACAAACTCGCACCTAGTCGTATGGCATTCTTTTTTCTTGGAAGGAACTAGCGATGTTTTGCCAACGTACATTTAGAGTCAAATTGTCTTACTATTTAATTAATAATAAACTATTTAATAAAACTAATTAATTAAACTACCAAAATAATACTATAAACTATATACTAAAACTAAACCAAACTAAAAATAAAACTAAATAATATAAAAAATCGACCCCAAATCGCTGCGGTCGCACGGTAGGGTTCCCAAGAGACTGGCGGCATTTCCCCGTTGATTACGTACACGTACATTTTGATATTAGGAATCGAACTTCCAGCCTTTTGTTTACATTTACTTAACCTGTAACTCTACATCAGTCAATTCAAAAATACTCATTTACATCACAAAGTGATTGTTACTGGACGAAAGAAAAGATTTTGTATTATTTGATTGTGAAACGAAAGTAATTTTGTATTATTGTTTCGAATAAAAGTTCTAAATCTAGAATCTTCAATGAACAAATTAAAAAAGTATTATAATATAAAAAGCTTAACTTAAAAAGCGGGCACCAAAAGTATTTCGATGGAAATTAAGTTTATATTATAGTTAAATTATTGACGTAAATTCATATATTTTAGTATTTGTAGATATAGCTTGTGGATATTTCTGGCAGACGATTGTGTATCGGATAAATATTAGGTTTGTTGTAATGTAAAGTACGTTTAGCAGGGAGGGCTTTTTACTTGAATTGGTCTTGTGGAGAAATAACAGTTTGCAATAAAATAATATTTACTGTTCACTTGTGACTGTAAATTGTATGTTAAATGTATAATGTCGGTGGAGAGGCGGCGCGGCGCACACACCCACACGCCGGGAAATGTTATCTCCTACATCAATGTAACTTATTGCTCGGTATAGCTATACTTGTAGGCTTCTAGGGTTGATTTTGGGTAAAAAATTATAATATAATATAATCTAAGACCTATCGAGAAATAAGTTTTATCTATTACATATAAACTTTAATATTTAATTTATTAAAACTTTTGTAAGAAATTATAATTATAACACTCACATAAGTTAGTTAGGGTACCGGCTCACCAGTCCCTCTCATCCTGATGAAGGGCCCCCGTTGGACTTGAAACTAGTCGGTGCCGCCACCGGGCGAATATA